TTCTGGGAGTTGAAGTCCACTCATCTTAAAGTGGCCAAGTTTGGACAACACTGATTTAAAACGATGGTGTTAGCTTTGGGGTTGTTTGGGCAGCACGTTTCACAATCCAATTCTCTCTCAGCTGGAAGCAAAGGGGCCTGGAGGAGCAAGGACCGGCCCTGCGCTCTAAGGTCATGGAGGATCCTCAGTGAAGACAAGGCTGCCCGGGGGTCCTGGAGTGATTTTTTCCCACCACCTGCTCTCTGTGCCAGGTGCCGCTTCGGGGTGGCCCCTCTAGTGGCTGCTGGAGTTTTTAACAGCAAGGGAGGATGAATGGATGCATGGGGAGCAATCAGTTAAGCAGAACTGAATAACATTTAATCTAAGACGGACGTTAAATCTAATTCAACGGAGCTGTTACTTGGCTACACACCCTTTTTGCGGCCTGGGCAAGCCACGCAGAGGCCAAGCGTGGCTCGGGGCCAGGAAAAACCTCGCCTCCCTTCAGCCATGGAACTCCTGCAGGACCTCTGGATGGCTTCCCGTGGACAGACCGTTGGGATTCAGAGCCACCTCAAGATATCACACCACCTCCCGACTCTGCCCTGGAATCCAGTGTGAAAGCTCAGCGGGAAAAAAAAGTTTTTCTCCCAGTCTCCACGGAGCGCTATAAAGGCCAGGGGGAAACAGTGAAGACAAACTCAGAAAGAAGCCCTCCCCACTTTCAGTATTCCTCTTTCTATGGGTTTACACCCATACTCAGTCCTGCCTGCAGGAGACAGACAAAAAATGTTCACCGTTGAGGGATTTTGTTGAAATACCTGATTTGGGGATTGTCTCGCAGGCTGCAGAAGATTCGCCAGCAAGCTTTCGTGGGCCGAAGGTCTCTTTTCTGCAACTTTCTTCTTCCCTTCTTTGCCAACACATGTAAAAGAACGAGAACAGCATTTTCAACGTTGGGCTGACCGCTATTTCGCTAACTGGTGGTATGTCAGCGTCAGACGGCTTCTCACAATTGCAACAGCAGCGACAAAAAAGGCACTGAGATCTTGGTCTTCAAAGTCAAACGAAGAAATAATCCCCAAAGCCGCGCCTGGGGCACGGGCAACCTCTCCCGTTCATGGAAAGGGCCTTTTGACCCAAAGGCTCTGGGCTGCGGAGGCAGCCAGTCCAAATAAATATTCCACCAGAAGAAACCCTTTATTCCTCCAGAGATACCCGGAACATTTTCAAGCTACATTTCGTTTGCCCATTTCTATGATTTTTAGTTCATTGCTTTGGGAAAAAGCAGCGTAGAGATGGGAAAGCAAAGTAACTAAAATTAATCATAAACGCTAACTATACATTGCCATAAAGGTATGAAAAAATAGTCTATTCACCTTTATTCGTATTGCTCCCTTCATCGATTGAGTCAATCAGCGATACATTCTGTAATTAGGAAATAACGTAAATTAAACGGATTCAGTGGTTCATGGTTTTGGTCCGCAGGCACCCTCTTCCAACCATGGAGCAGTTCTCTGTGAATGGCTATTTCAGAAATAGGGAAGGATTATAATTACATTCGAAACACACAGAGAACTGCCATCTCTTAATTTGGGGGGAACGTGCTAAAAGTCTCATGGCTGCAGAGCAACAGGTTCAACAGCAGTCAGGCCAGAAATACGCCTGCTTAGAGCTGGTGGTGACTGGAGTGGCCTATTTCTAGAAATAGGAATAAATACAGAACCCAACAAAGATACTCAGAATTCTGGCTCTTCTGTCGCTGCAGAACAGAAAAGGAAAAGGACTGAGAAGGGTGACGGGAAGGAAAACACAGCCCGGCTTCAAAGCCGGCCTTGGACGTGCTCACCTGTTCAGCTGGAGAGTCTCTGCTTCCAGCAGCTGCTTTCGCTGGAGGAACTGCAGGAATTTGACACAAGTGAGCGGGATCTTGAAACTGATTTTGCTCGACGGCTCAGAAAGAAAGGCAGAAGCCAGCGAACACCTGCACTAGGGGCAGGGGGAGTCAGAGAGCGTGTGGGCACCACCCAGGCCGACCAGCCTCCTGACTTTTCTGAACAAGGCTGAGAAGCCCCCTTGGCAAGAGATCTGCGTCTTGGTGGGACCAGGTAAGAGCAGCGCTCAGAGAAGCTGGCCTGGGTGAATACCTCGGGAAAGGCCTCTGGTTCCAGCAGTCCAGACTTCTCTCTTAGCTGCAGAACCGAGTCGTAGGCCTGGGGTCTGCGGTCTGCAAGCGGGGTCTGTCTCGAGCCCCAGCCCCTTCCCATCATCCACCAACAGGCGGCAGCATCTCTTCCCCAAGGAAAGGGAGCTGACTCGAGGACGCTGAGGCCTCCTCCCGTGCACCAGCCCAACCCAACAGGGCATCTGTGGTTACATTGGAGCCAGGCGCGTCCGTGCTCCGCAGGGGCCAACAGTGGGGCCAAGGAAGCAGTCCCCGCTGGAGCTTTAGGGCTGGTGCTTCCGTTCTGCTGAATTCTAAGACGTTAAATGCTGCTTGCACTCTTCCCAACACCCAGCACTGATTGCCAAATTCTGCCCCTTGAGTGTGCTATTGTTACGGATCGCTTAGTCACCGGTTATTTTTCTCTTCTTTGTGGCAAAAAAAGGAAAACTCACTTGGTGCCCCTTTGAGAAAGACCTGCCAGAGTCTTGTTTACTTAGTTTGCACACTTAGGCACTCCTGGATTACGCAATTGTTGTGTTTCTTTTTAAACGGGTTTGTGGAAAAACAGTAATGTGAAAGTTAGCCTCCCTACCTGGAGCTGTTGCTGGAAGCACCCCTGAGCTTTTCTTCGGCGCTTCAACGTGAGGGAAGTCATCAGCGTCGGACGACCTGGTCAAGAAGCAACCATAATAATTCACCATGTCTATCAAGAGATATCGAGCAGCCTGGCCTCTCTCCACCTAAGACACCCGAAGCCTTAAAAATAAACTCCTGGCAATTTATTTCACACTTGGATGTTTTTTTCCACCATGCAGAAGTTCTCCAATATCAAAGCCCCGCAAATCACAATACCCTGCAACTTAAAATGCCCAATCTGATAAAAAGATGACCAGACGAAAGGGTTGTGCGAATGATGCCTCATTCAGACCACCTGTATTACCAGCTTATCATCTCAACAGCTCTGCTGGGTACGGACAGTGGGATTTGGCGTCCAACGTGGTTGGAGGCTGAGGCAGAGGATTATAAAGGAATCCGCTCACGCGGCCAATTTCTACAAAAGCCCAGTTGTTCAACTGCATTTTCCAGGTAGCACAAAGCCTTCTATTTGTTTACACAGGACGCTTCCTACATGCTTGTGCTCTTATGCTCTGAAATTCCCTGATGGGAACGCCACTTGTTAGTCCACGTAAAAATAGCTCTCAACTACTAGAAATTGCTGTTAATCAGAACGGCCTTTGCATTGCCAACTTCAAACTCACAGACCCAGCCTCACACAAAGCAACACGGAGCTTAAGGTGTCAGGGAAGATCCCTTTTCACGGCCCACGGAACTACCACCACCCGAGCAGACGGTCCAAAAAGCAATTCACGGCCATTTAGTTGTCACTGACCTTCCCGTGGTTGGAGAGAGGGTTTCAGTTGCTGTTGGTTTTTTCGGTGGTGCCGGCTTACTGTCTGCCATGCTAGGAAGCAGCGTGGCACCATTTGATAGTTTACTTTGAGCCTCTGGGGGGTTGACCTGGCGAGAAGGAAGGGAAAAAAAGCATTTACTCTATAGTCTAATATGGGAAGAGACATCTTGCCACTGATCACGGAGACCCTGGATTTTCGCTAGCACAGCGTTTCTCAACCTTGGCAACTTTAAGATGAGTGGACTTCAACTAATGTCTAAATAAAGATACTAGCATTTTAGCGTGGCGTCTATGCCTCCTCCTGAAATTTAGGAAACTGTGTTTTCCTTTTGAGCCAAAGTAATTTCCTCTGATGTGCAAAAAGTAGCCTTTTCAGGGACAGGGATGAGAGCCATCAAACAATAGGACTGTATTCTGAAGTTCTTGATCAAAGCTGTAAGTGTGAAGAAAGAAACAAACCCGGGTGGGAAAGGAGGAGATGTAACATATTTCATCGAAAGGCGTCTTTTCTCATGTTTAACAAAAAAACAACAACAAAACTTTTATTGCACATCAGCAACTTTTGTTGCTTTCTGATACACCTATCACATATCGAATGTATGTAATGTACTGTATATAAAGACTTGACCGCCCCTTAATAAATGCTTTTTTTGCTTTGCTTGAAGTACTTGTGGTTTGTTGTGTGTGTGTGTGTGTGTGTGTGTGTGTGTGAGAGAGAGAGAGAGAGAGCGAGCGAGCGCGCCACTTTGCAAAGGTATTGGGTGTTTCTCTCTCAAATTCAGGGACTAGGTTCTTTCCAGCTCCACACCAACTCGGGTTCCCACGTTTGGGGGCAACAGTCCCACCACCACTTAAAGGAAGCCCCAACATTGTGAGGCCCCCATCATTAGACACAGAAATGGAGGATGAGGCTGTTTTGTTCTGTACTGCAAAATGCTGATGCGCGCTGGGCGCTCGGGCAACGACTAACCGCTTCGGTGGTTTTTATCTGCACTGGAGCACTGATGCCGAATAAGCCTTACTTTTCTGGACAACTTTGTGTTCTGGAAAGATATCACAGCATTAATGCGTCTGTCGAGCCTGGAGATTTTCTTCTGCAAGAAAACAGAAGGAGGTTCTGCCAAAACCACAGAAACAACACTCCGGCCGCCCGGGGGGAAGATCTGCCTTGCACCCGTGGCCTGGCTGCGCCCACTCCCATACCCTGGACCAGCACACCCAACCCTACCCCCTTGGGGTCCGACCCAACTCCCTAACAGGTGAGGCGGGACTCCTTGGCAGGCGCCAGCGAGGGCAGCCACAATGCTCAGCCCGTGTCAAATCGCGGGTGAGAACTACAAAGACACATGCAAGGTTGTGCCCCGTTCTTCGTGCACGAGTGACAGACGCATAGCTTTAAAGGAAATGCGATCTTACTACAATCTTGATAGCGATTCCTTCATGCTTCCGTAGGCACTGCGTACGAGCAATTCTTTCATTTAAACGTTGGAGACCGTGGTGCAGTTCTCCCATTGAGATCTCCAGCCGATTCTGAATAAAGCACTTGACCTACACCAAGAAAGATATACAACGAGGGACATTTTCAAGTTGAAATTCTTGGCACCCCCCAACACAATACATCAGAAACGGGATGCCTTTTGAGCTACAGCCAAACCTGAGAGTTTTCAAGTTCTTGTCTTCCCATGACAACCTCTAGTTTTTCCACGTTTTATAAACACAGTGCTGCATTTGTTGTGAAATAAATGCACCACGTGTGAAAGTATCTCTAATTATTGCATTTCTAGCTGCTTCCGTCTTTGTAGTCAGCCCCCCCC